CCGGCCGGGCATGGACCAAACACATACGTAGGTTTACATGTACCTTTTGCTGTTAGACTCTTGGGTCTCTATGGGCTGCTGAAAACTGCTTGATGAACTCGAAGAAGAAAATTTCTCAACTTCTGCGGTTAGACTNNNACTCTTGAGTCTTTAAGGGTTGCTGCAAACTATTTCATGGACTCAAAAAAGAAAATTTCTCCACCCGTGCGGTTAGACTCTTGAGTCTTTAAGAGCTGCTGCAAACTGCTTGATGCACTCGAAGAAGACAATTTCTCAACTTCTGCGGTTAGACTCTTGAGTCTTTAAGGGTTGCTGCGAGCTACTTGATGAACCCAAAAAAGAAAATTTCCCAACTTCTGCGGTTAGACTCTTGAATCTCTAAGGGTTGCTGCAAGCTACTTGATGGACTCAAAGAAGCATATCTCTCCACTTTTGCGGTAAGACTCTTGAGTCTCTAAGGGTTGCTGCAAGCTACTTGATGGACTCAAAGAAGAAAATCTCTCCACTTTTGCGGTTAAACTCTTGAGTCTCTAAGGGTTGCTGCGAGCTACTTGATGGCGAAGAAGGAAATTTCTCCACTTTTGCGGTTAGACTCTTGGGTCTTTACGCTAACTTTATGACCTTGCTCACTAACGTTATGGCTTTCGACCTTGCTCAAACTTTATGACCTTGCTCACTGGGCTTTATGACCTTGCTCATTGGCTTTATGACCTTGGTTTCGACCGAACTCACCAACTTTATGGCCTTGCTCACTTACTTTATGACCTTGCGCTCACTAACTTTAGGGCCGGCGGGGCCCATAAAGTTAGTGAGCAAGTTCGAAGAGCCATAAAGTTAGTGAGCAAGGTCATAAAGTTAGTGAGCAAGGTCGGCCCTAAACCGTATAAGGACCGAACTCACTAACTTTATGACCTTGCTCATTAACCTTGTGACCTTGCTCGCTAACTTTATGACCTTGCTCACTAAGGGCATTAACATTTATATTATATATGAAAGAAGGGTTTAGGGTTTAGGGTTTAGGGTTTAGGGTTTTTTTTTGAACGCCTTTTTCCACCTGTTGGAGCATCCTTCAGTTGGAATCCGCTGTGCGGAAGGCTAGTTTGCCAGGGTTTAGGGTTTAGGGTTTAGGGTTAGGGGTTTAGGGTTTAGGGGTTTAGGGTTTAGGGTTTAAGGTTTAGGGTTTTTCTGTCCGTTGATGCCAGCAGCAGAGTCAACACACCGACCGGACTTACGAGTAGGGAGAACCCCCGACCCACCGAGCTCGAAAACCCCAGCAGCAATGAAGTCTACCATCGGAATGGAGTTTGGAACGAGGTTCCAATTACCTATCATCAAGGCTTGCTCTTGGCTCTTGAGAGGCGACACGCGCATTCGCCATTTTGAAAGTACAAGCTAACGAGTAGCCAGGGTCTGGCGCTCGGGTTGTGAACTTTAAGAGCTTGCACGCGACCAGAAAGACAGGGCTCAGAGTAGCACTGCAGCTCAACGGGAGCCAGAGGCCACTTGGCGAGGACCGCCAACCCAGCCGTGGGATGGCCATCAGATCGGAGCCCCACTGTATTCGCCGGCTTGATTGAGTGGCAGCGATCCATTCGCCAGGATCATTGCCTGTCAATGGTTCGTACGTAGTGCAGTACCACACGTGAACTGTGGGCGAGTCGCTTCTGTTGAACTCAAAGCACTTGCCACCTGGGCAGAGCACTCTGACGCAAACGTGAGAGCAATCAGCTATGGCCGCGAGTTCCAAGTTTCCTCCCCAAGCACCTGTCTTCTTGAGGAGGCTTAGGTAGTTCTCCCAGGAGTCGCACGGGTCTTCCCTTTTGCTAGGGGTAAGCTCGTCCCACTAAGAACGAAACTTGCGTTCGCGAACTAGTTTATTGTCGACGAAGCACCCGCGAGAGCGAGAGGATGCTCGTGGACAGGCAGCAGGCGAACCCACTGTCACCCAACATGCAAACGCATGCTGCAAACAGGAGCATGCAAACGGTCAGTCCACATCGAAGCGACAAAGGAGCTTCTGGCAACCATGCAAAGAGCGGACGCCCACCTAGGCATCCGAGTCCTCAGGAACACGGTCCGCCTGGCGGCGTTTGCGTCCGCGCCGAAAGCCGAAGATCTCTCTGAGTCTTTTGCGCACTTCAGCAAGATGAAGAACGCGAGCCTTCGATGTGTCCTTCTGCTCCTGTGGCATAGGCCAGCCCAGGCGGCTGCGTCGCCCGCAACTGCCGGCCTGGTGGCGGCAAAGGCAGTGCAGTGCCAAGCCGCGTGGTGCCAGGAAGGCAGCACCGAAGCATTGCACAGACTGCATGTCGCACACCAGTGAGTGCCCACCGGTGGTTTGCCCTGTCTCATGCAAGCATAGTGTTCCCCACTCTTGCCGCCCGAGAGCATCACTCCCCTGGCCTCTGTGTTGACGTCCTTGTAGAGAACCGAAGCACTCTTGACCCTAGCAGCGTCGTAGCCCACACGGTCAAAAGCCGCGATCTCACGTGCCTCGTGCCTGTCCAGCTTGAGGAACAAGTCAAACTGACGGCGACGCCAGCGTTCCCGAAGGACGTGAAGCCCACGCCGCAATCCAGCCTCGCTGTCTAGCGCCAGCCTGTCCCTCGAGGGGTGTGACCACGTAGTCAGGTTGGTACAAACTGCCAGCTCTCCAAAAACATGCAAATCGCATCTCCCCATTGGCCTTGTACAAGTCGGACCTGTCGGTCGTGCCAATAGCGGTGAGCCGAGAAAAACGCAGACACGTAATGCATCTGCGTCGTGAAAGCCACATCCATCCAATGACCAGCAAGGAGAGACCACAAAGGTCTGGCGCCATCCTGGATCACTCCTAAAGCTCGCCTGACCTGAGTGGTGACCTTAGCCATGTCACGGTCTGGGCTGGGCGTCCACCAGTTCCCCCAAGCAAGTTGGGGCAACAAAACTGTCCTGTACAACTTCTCTTTCTGCTGACCCAAAATGGGTAAAGTCTGGAGTCTGTGCAGGCCTCCATGCGTCTCGACTCCACAATCTCTTGTGGCCTTGTAGTTAAGGCGGTCCCCAAGATCACGGCCTCCTCGCTCGGGTCGATGCCCAAGTGCACGAGCGCCTGCTGTTGGTGCGGGCTTCGCGTGACATACCGAACCTTGCCGGTGTTCTCCTTCAGCCCAAGCTGCTTAGCTTTTGTCTCCCACAGGGTGCTTGCTCGGCGCGCCTCACCCGCCGTGGTCCAGCACCAAAGATCTGTCGTCAATGAAGATCGACTGCGCAGCACGGTCGCCCAGCTCCCGTTGGATCTCAAGAGCCGGCACCCTGAGTAGCAGCAGGAGCGCCACCGGGGAAGCGGGGCACCCCTGCGGGAGGCTGGTAGTGACCAGCTCCGGCAGGCTCAGCACGTCACTGCCCATCTGCAGCCATCGATGCTGGGCCTTCCAGGTCCAGCGCAGCAAACTCACAAGTCGGGCAAGGGCACCGTACAGCAAGGTTGCGGAGGGCCAAGTCTGGGTCAACGCGGTCGAAACACAGCTTGAAGTCCAGGGAGACCAGGACACGCTCGGAGTTGAAGGCCGCATCGAGTCTCCTCAGAGCATGCTGGGCGGCGCGGCCTTGAAGCCCACCGTGGAAGCAGTCCGGGGCCACCGTCTGAAGCCAGGCTCTCGTGCGGTCGTGGGAGATCCAAGCACTCACCACCACACGGTAAATGCAGCCAAAGATGCTGATGGGCCGCATCCTGGCCGCTTCGGCTGGACCTCCTCGCTTGGCCGCCTCATCCTTAGGCAAGAAAACAGTCCTCGCATGTCTCCAAACTTGTGGGTACTCGTCACGTTGGTTCCAGACCTCCAGCCTCTCCCACAAGAGCTCCCAAAAACGCAGGGGCAAGTCCGCTACCTCGCAACCCGCCAGACCGTCCGGTCCGGCACTGCTGCGGCGAAGCTCCTTTGCTTTCTTGTGTAGCTCCGCCGCCGTGATGCCGTCCAGGTAGGCATCCCACCTAGGTACCGGGTCGGCGCGACGCCAGCTGTCCTCAAGGTCAGTGAGCACCGTCAGCGGTTGTGGCCTGTTCCATGTGCGCCTCCAGAAGTCTGTCAGGATCTGCAGCGCCTCTTGCGTGGTCCTGCTCGTCACAGTCTGGCCCTCGAAGGTGTCGACGACGGCCGCCGGTAAGGCGCAAACACGATTGTTGAGCCACCTGGTCGCCTCCTTGCCAGCCTGTTGGAAGCACGCGTACGCTGCAACAAGTCCTGGGTGAAAGCAAGGGCCTGCTCGAAGGCCCCAGGAACTTCCCGAGGCCAGTCTCGCCAAATGCGGGCACTGAGGGCCGCATCGACCTCCTCGTGTCGGATGGCCTCAAGCAGCCGGCCCTGGAACTTGCACAATCGTTGCACCAGCCCGCTCTCAGCGCAGCGCCTGCCCGCCTCCCGTCCATGGCTTGACACCGGCTGGACGGCGGGTAGCGAGCCCTTGCATCGGTACCGCCGCTTGGTGTCCCGACTGGATCCTGAAAGAGCCACCAAGGCCCGAGCACAAGCCTGCTCCACCAGCTCGACGAGTTGCAGCCACTGCACATCCACGTCGTCATGCCACTCCACCACCACGTCGGAGAAGAAGCCCTGGAGCTGCTCTTTCCAGTCGTCGGCATTCACCCAGGCCTCAGGGCGCCGTTGGCCAGAATTCGAGGCGGGCCTTCTATCGAACTGTGCTCGCCACTGGAGTTGCAAAACCTTGTGGTCGCCAAACTTGGGGGTGTCAAACTGCGCCTGCACCCTCCATGTGTCATCATTGAAAGCGGCAAAGTCCAGGGCACGGTCGCCGCCCCAGCGAGAAGGGATGAAAGCACGGTGCTCCATCGGCGCCGCCATATGCAGGCCAAGGGCCGGCAGCCAGGATTCACACGGAGTATCGTTCCAATCCCCGACCGCGAGGCAAGGGATGTGACTGTCCGCCGCCTCCCCGAACAAGTGGGTGACCTCCGCGTCGAATTCTCGTCACGCTCCACGCAAGGCCTGCGCCACACCGCCATGACACGGAAGCCCTCGGAGTCCAGCACCAGGAGGTCGCCCGCCTGCCCCGTCCATGAATGAAGCTGTCGGCATCGGACATGGCGGGCAGCGGCCACACAGAGGCCGCCCTTCCAGTAGGTTGTAGCCGAGAGGTGGCCGCGGCCTGCTCCGAAGGCCCCGCTCTGCATTCAGCCATGCAAAAGACCTGAGGTCGCTCCGATCTTTTGAAGGCCTCCAGGTAGTCCATCACTGCAAACATCTGCTCGGCCCCCCCCCCACGTTCACGTAGGTGAGGTGGAAAGCGTCCGGCCCTTGCTGGCTGTCACCTGCAGTCTCTGGTGAGGAAACCGATGGTCCCGGGCTTGGCTCCACGTCTCCATCAGCCGTTACATCTCGCACCCACTGGTTGGCCGGCCACTGCTTTGTGTGAAGACACACGCGAGCTCGGTGTTGGCGGCGCTCAGCGGCTGTCATGTTCCAGGCATCGCACAACCTGCGACGGCTCCTCTGATCGAATCGTGCAAACAGCTGGGCCCTTTTCGGGCCTAAGGTCCTCAGATTCTTCTTCTGGCGCAAAGCCTGCAACCCATCATCTGATGCACAGCGCTGTGTCCATTTTTGTAATCGATGCACTCGCTGCTTGACGGCAAAGCACCTGGAGCATGCGAAAAACAAGCGTGGCTCAGGCTCGCTCCCCACGCCACGCAGAAGGACCCGAACATCGTGGCCCAATCGCTGCAAACGGGTCCTCTGGCGCAGCACGCATTCCCAGACCTTGATGATCTTGGCCAGAGCGCTAAGTGCCCTGACCGGATCCGTGGCCCTGGCCTTGAGGAATCTGGGCAGCTGAGGGACTCGAAGTGCCTTGGCCAGCTCAATGGCGTTTGCTCCCGGAGACGAGTTCTTGGGAGCATGAGTGCAGCGGCGTAGGTGCCGTTTGACCGAGCTAGCATACACCGCCGGCTCCAGCTTCGGAAGTCCCTCGTGGCACCACGCGCACCTCCAGTGCGGCTGGGGCAGCACCTGCGCCGGCTGGGTTTTCACCAACACCTGCCCACCCCTTCGCTCAAAAGTAGATCTAGGTAGGTGGGCATGGAACTTGGCAATGTGGTCCGACTTGCGGCGGGTGAGATTCCTCCCCTCCGTGCGATACACGAACTTGTTGCACACTTTGCAAAACCAGCCTGGCGTCTCTTTAAACCCATGCTCTGACGGAGGCGTTGGGGTTGTGGCCGCGAGAGCGCACTGCGATCCAGAAGTCCGAGACTTAACCGTCCTGGCCGTGGTGACCCCCGTGCCACACAGGCTGGAAGCCTTGCGCTTGCTGCCCTTGACCTGACTGGCCCTCGCCCGATGTGTGGCCATGGACTTGGAACTCGCCGATGCCCTGGAAGGGAGCCATGCATTGGCGGCCCGATCGGCCGCTGCACTCGAAGATGACCCCCTAGTTGGTCCTGGCCACGATGGCACCGAAGCTGAGCGAGAAGAGGCTGATGTCGCACGCGGTGGCATCCAATCCCCTGTGTCCTGGATCGAAGAGGCCGCCGAGGAAGAAGGGGGTCGCGGCGGCAGCCAGGAGCCACCACCACGCTCAGAGCCTGAAGCTTGCGAAGAACACCGGCTCGGCAACCACCCACCTCCCCGTGGGACCTGTCGCGTGTCACCGCCTGGTTCCTGTTCCAACCATTCAGGAGGAAGCTCCTTGCCGGCCTTGGGCGCCACCAATTGATAATGGCGATCCTTGTACAACACCGGGACCAACACTGACACCTGTTTTAAGTCAAATCATCTGCCCACCGCCCTGGTCGATCCAAAGCTTGGAGATAGGCCTCCCACGTGGTGGGCGGAGCGCCGCCCTCCATCTGTTCCAAGTTCACTTTCTCCGTCTCGTCCGCGGGCTCGGGAGGAGGAAGCCAGAAAGGTTTGAAGTGCAATGGCTTATCGCGAATATAGCTTGCGACCTCTGACCGGAGGGTGGCTCCCCGGGCCTTTGCCAGCCTGATTGCATCCTTCCAGGTCTGACCGTCTCTGTACACAGCATAATGAGCGCCGACAACATTGAACAGGCAGCTTCCCGCCCCGCCGCAATCATGGATATCGAACCAGTCCGGCTGCGCACGTGTCGGGGAACGAGATCGCAGCCGGTCGACAGCCGGCTCCACAGCCCCAGTCGCTGCCTGTGCCACCTTGCCCACTGCTTTGCCATTGCCGCCGCTGCCACCCACCGCGTCGGGAGCCGCTGGTGGCTTGCTTGGTCCGGGGGCTGTCTTCTCGGAAGCCGCCCGCTTGGTCTCGATCGGCAGCCGCTCCGTCTTGACATTCTCGAGGCGTCGCTTGGCTACGGCCCGCTCAACATCGATGCAATGGTGGTCGGTCTGAATGACTAAAGCCGGGAGTCCTTCGTCCCCCTTCAGCTTGCCACGCACGAGCCACGGCAGTGAGCCACGGCCCGGAGCCACGACCTCAAAGTCACTGAAAGTCGCAGCCTCGAATGCGCCCCGAAGATCCTCCTCCGTCCAATCCCGGGGAACTTTACGAGCTCTCCATGTTTGCACCCGGTCGCCGGCCTTGCTGGGGTCGATGCGGATGCCGAGGGCCGCGCCACCTCCCCGCCTAAAAGCCAAAGAGCCACCGCCAACCTTGGCCTGGCGCTGCACAAGCTGGAGATAAGCCGGGCCTTCCACATCGCCCGGGCGAATCCAATCCACATTGGGCTTGGGCTGGTCTCGGGTGAGTTCCTCCACAAGAACACCCCCAGAGCCCGACCTTGCAAGCACCGCGGCCTTGTCACCCTCGGCCACTTTGGCGTAACACTCGAGTACAAGCTCTCTGTGGTCTTTGTCTCCGGACTGGATCTTCTGCCACACACCCAGGGAGTGCACCGGGCCAAGGGATCGTCTCACCAGGTCGTTGGGCTGTTTGCAAAGCGGGTCCCATTGAGACGGCTCGCAAAAGGCCTTGGGCACCTGCAACCTCAAAGTCACAAGCTTGCGGTCCGGGGCTGCAAAGGTAGCTTTCAGCACGGCTTTCCGCTGAGGAGCCGGGCTGTTGCCTGCACTGACCGTCACTGCTGGCCACGACCGCACCTGTTTTTGGCCTTTGGGACCAACGGACGGGAGCTGCATGGTCTTGGCTTCTCCCGTCGGCACAAAACGACAAATCACACTCAGGGCCTCCTTCAACTCATGAGATCGAGCCAGAGAACCTATAGTGTCGAGCTCTGCTTGGTCGTTGGACACCACAAGGTGACCCCCGAGAGGCATGCCATCTGCGAGGCGGCGCTTAACCACCCCGAGACCCAGCAGCCCACCCACCAACGGATCGACGTTCCACTGCTGCACTGCCGCGCCTTGCTTCCGCCTGCCCTCGACCATGGTCCAGTCCGAGCCTGCATGGTCTTCGCGCGAGACCGGTCTGCAGAAGCTGGGCTCGGTTGGCCGCGCTGCCTGGGCCCTAGCTTGCTGGGAAGTGTTCCCGACGTCGAGGCCCTAGGGGTTTGGGCCGTTTTCTGCGTCCTCGCCGCCTCTTTCTCGAGACAGCAATATGCCTGCGCATTGCAGCTCTCAGCCCCGGCCGGGCGCCGCCGCAATTCTTGGGACTCATCGGTCCATCAGGTTGTCTGATCAGGAAGAAGCTGATCACTGCATTGAGCAAGCAGGCTACCGCAACCCGCTTTACTCGGCTCGTTTGAATTTTGTCGCCGCTCGACGCCCAAGTCGAGAGGCTCCGCTGCCACCGAGGAGCTAAGTCGCCCCAGGAGGTATTCACAAGGCAGCGAAACTTGCGTTCGTACTTTTTCAGCTGGTCCGCCACAGTAGCCCGAAATGTACGATGAGTGAGCGGACTGCTGCGCCGAGACAAAGCTCTGTTGAGACCGATGGCCGCGGCTTCAAAAAGGCAGCTCCTTTTTGTCATCAGGGCGACCACAGTCATATGTTCGGGCAGGTTGTCACACGACGAATCCTTTTTGGCGCGCTTGGGCTTGGCATCTTTAGCAGGCGAAGCACCATGCTTGAGGTTCTTCTTTTGCTCTTCTCCTCCCTTTTCATCGGCCTTGGCCTCAACATCCATGGACAAAGCGTCAACTTGCGTGGCAGCAACCTCAGGAGTTGAGGCGGTAGCGGCAGCGGCTTTATTGGGATTCAATCGAGTCATAGCACTGTTGTCGTAGCGATGCGTGGTCTTGCCTCCACTTGCACGTGTTGCATTGACGACAGCAACCAGGGTGCAATCATCAAACTTGCTCTCGAAGTAATCATCTTTGGGGCAACTCTTAGCTCTAAGCGTCCAGACGGCCTTCGTCTTGCGAACAACCCTTCTGGAGAGGAGCGTAACCTCCCATAGGACCCAGGAGTGACACACTCCCGCTTCCTCAACATCGACACGGACTCCCAAGTAATTGCCGCCACCTCTGCGGAAAGATAGAGTAGTGTTCTTGTTTTTGGCCTCTTTCCTTGCCCTCTCGAAGTACTCGTAGGCAGATTCGCCCTCCTCGGCGGTGATCCACTTCACCGGGCACTGCTTGACCACATCCTTCACCAGCTTGGAAATGAAAATGGGTTTCTCCAAGCCGGATTTGTTGAGGTACTTGTCCCCATCACCCTTAGGAATCTTGAGGTAGAAGACCACAAAGCCCCCCCGCCTCTCCCAACCTTGCGTCTGTATCTCCTCCCCCTTCTCCAGTAGCTTCGCCTTCCCGAGAATGCTGATCTCATGATTGCGCACTTCCTCCTCATCAGGCCCCCAAAGATGCGCTTCTTTCTGATTGCTCACCCGGATGTAATCAGTGTCAATGCTTTCTTCGGCAATGATTTTCCGCTTAGCAGCAGCGGCGGCAATGCCCGGAGCTTTTGTCCCTCCTCCTGAGTCCCATGCAGCGGGATCCTGGCCATGGCCCTTTCCCGCTTTGGCGCGGAGCATCGCGCGATGCGGCTGTGGCTTCGTGAGCTTGCCGCCTGCGCAGCTTTGATCAGGCCGGTGAGCTTGTCAATAAAGCCGCGCGGGTCTTTTTTGGCTCTGCGGCGCCAAAGCCCAACCACCACCATGGTAGCGAGGTCCATCGCCACATACTCGCCATCGTCGCCGACGTGCTTCGCGCCGACAGTTGCACGTACATCATCCCGAACTGCTAAGAGGACGCCACCAAAGTGCCGAGCAGACTGACCGCGCCGTCGTCCGTTTCGCTGCCAGGTGGGGCCCTTGCTTGCGTAGAAGGCCCTGTATCCCATCCCCCGCAGCTCCGAGGAAATAAACTGCACATTTTGCGGGCCAGCTCTCCTGAAAGGATGCCACGTGCGGCCGGTGCTGGCGAAGGAAGCACTTCCCACAACGTCTGCAGCCCTGCAACATTTTGTTGCAGAAAGGTCCACTCCACAGCAGCTGCTTGTGAGCCATGAGGCCCTGGGTGGGGCTCAACACCTTCACGGACAACGGCCTGGCGTCGGCCGTCCATGTACTGCTTGAGCTTGCGCTTGCATCCCTAAACCGAAACCTGGTTGGTCCTACAGCGGCGGCCCTCCAACGTCGTGAAGTCCCGGCTTGGGCGGTCAGCGTGGTCCACCTGGATGTGCCGCCAATGCAAGCACTGCAACTGCTGCTTACTTGGAGCCTTCAACAGCCTACTGCACACGTTGCACTCCCACTCAAAAAGGCCCCCAACCTTACGCACTCTGTATTTGGCCCTGTCCTCTCTCTCACGAAGAACCAGAGCACGATGAAGCTTGAGCCGATGCCTGCATGCCTGAGCGTGAGCAAGTGTAGCACTACCCGCAAACCCAACCACGTCACAGAAGGGGCAAGCCCACTTCCACTTAGTGGACGGCGGGTCCTCAGTGTGACTCGATGCCTCAGCTTCGGGCTTTTCGGCCCGGTCTTGAGCGCGCGAAACAGGCCCAGGACGCCCGTTTCTCCGAAGAAAGCCCGCCTTAGCTAGCACGCGAAACAACCGAGTTGGTTTTGGGCGTCGTGCCCGCCGTGATTGAGCGCTGCTCAACCTGAACCTTAGGCGCATGTGCTCCGCGCCGAAGCGTGAAGCGCTGCAGTCGCCTTCTCTGCTTTTCTTCGAACTTGCCAGGCCCAGCCCTCAAAAAAAACAAGCTCTGCGGAAAGTTCAGTGTAGAAGGGAAAAACTGGAAACGGCCTAGCAGCAGGCGGTCACCTCACCCTCCAACAAAGTCCCAAAACAGTGGACTTGAAAAGCTCAAGAAGTACGAACCCCGGTGGAAAACAACTGTTGTCGGTCACCAACGGCCTCCTGAGTCCAACCAGCCGTAGCCCCATGTCCATGCAACCACAACCGCATAAATGAAGCTGGTCATGCAGAAGGCGTACACTGCATAGGTGGGGCTCTTCACACGCTCCGCCACGCCACCACTCACGATAGTTGCCCCGGCCGTACAAAACGCCCACTGGACTTGGAACTTGCTTTGACGCGTCCCCCGCAGAGGCGCACGCCCATAGACACCCCGCACTGTTGCAGAAGTGCTGCCCTGATCCGGCTCATGTGGCGGAGTGCCGCCGTGTCCCATCCATTCTGCCTCCACATAGGCCATCCCAGACGGTTGTAAAGGGCGTCGCCGGCACCGGGTCGGCCCTCAGCGAAGCCATCACATTCCCACGCCAAACGTTGCCACGACTCCACGACGGCACAGCTCCGGTCGCGCACCACCTGCAAGTGGCCCCGGCCGGGTTCTCCCAGTAGAAAGCGTCCGACAGCGCTGCCCCAATCAGAACTGCTCTTTCATGACTGTTGCCATTGCCGTACGCCCGACGGGCCTGCTCAGTCCGCGCCTCGTGGTATGCGGCACCCTGCGAAGCCAGACCAGTTGCATCTCGCCGGTTGGATTCCAGAAACTCACGAAAGGAATGGGCCCGCCAACTCTCACGGAGCACATGGAGCTCCCTATGCAGATGAACGCCTTGAGGATCCATCTGCCAGCGAAGCCTGGCGCCCTGAAAATGCTGCCATGAGAACGCAGCCACTTCAGCCTTCAGCCCACCCTAGTTGCGCAAGGAAGGTGCGAACCCTGCCCAGCCATGTGCCTTGCTCAATCTTACGCGTCCACTGCCTCTGACTCCACAGGTCCTGACGACGCAACGCTGCGTAGGCATCCTGGCCTGCCTTGAAGTTGAGGTCGCTGTGGTTGCCCTCAAGGATGGAGATTAAGCTCGTGGATCCTGCCTTGTGGATGTGTCCCACTTTTCGCATGCACTGCCGTACATTGGCGCAAAGCTTAATTTTTCGTGGGCCACTTGAAGAGCCAGCCCCATGCCATCTTAGGAGTGACAAGCGCACGCCAGAAGCGGACTCGGAGTTCCCTAGCCACCGGCATACATGAGATGCGCTTCCCCCTGTTCATGGCGGTTTCCCTGCGCTCCGCGAGTGTGGCTCTCGCCTTTGCAGTCCTATGACTAGTGAAATCCACTCCCAGAATGCGGACCTGCTCCTTGACGTACTCCGCGTAGTCCGTGGCAGCATAGTCTTGCCTTTGCGCCTGTGTCCGAGTAAGGATGTGAAGCTTATCGAAGTTCTCGCGCCACCCCATTCTTTGAGACCAGCTCGCCCAGCATTGTATGCCTTGGGTGACGATCAACGCACTTGGTCCATGCAGAGTCCTATCGTCCACAAACAGCACTTGCCGGAGTCGCGGGATGCACCGCCGAACGTCCTGCACTGGCGCCAGGGTGGCGATCATCGCCAAGGGAGCCATGGCATCCCGCTGTGGCATACTGAGGCCCGCTGCATAGCTATGCATACTGCAGTGCCGGCCCCAAATGAGCCATCTCCGCTGATTCTCCCAGACCTGGCTCAGGATGCGCCCAAAAACCCTGGGTAGCCCCAAGAAGCTGAGCATGCGCACCGCCGCAGCCGGGAACAGGTTGTCGAATGCTGTTTGGAGATCGAGCGTGGCCACGGTCTGTTGTGCCCCATTGATCGCGCGATCGAGCTCGCTGAGGGCCGTGAAAGTGCTGCGACCTTTCAGGGCTCCATGGCATTCGGGCGGGACCCAGCTGCGTATCCAGGCTTGTGTGTCCTGCCGCTGCAAGAAAGCCGCAGGAACTGCTCTCCAGAAAATGCACGCAATGGAAATCGGTCTCAGATGAGCAACGTCCATGGTTCCATCTTGCCTGACTTCTTTGCCCGGCTTGGGCAGCACCACCATGCGAAGTTCCTGCCAAGCCTGCGGGACCCTACCGAAGCCGAGCCACCCGTTGAGCAGAGCTGTAAAGTCCTCCACTGCCGCATGAGGGATGCGCTGGACCTCTTCAGCCGTCCAGCCCGTGATGCCGGCCGCAGCTCCGCCCCGTTTGAGGGCGGCCTGAATCTCGCTTGCAGTGAAGCTTGTCCACGCGCAGGGTTCTCGCGCAGGTCCAAGGGGCCGTCTCCACTGATCAAACACCTCCTCCGCAGTGACGTCCGCTCTATTCGTCTGTTGCCAGTGCGCCGCCACCAACTGCACATTGTCCTCGGCTGTGTGCGCCACTTCGTTGCGCCTGAAAAGCCCGGTAGGGAATGTGATGTCGCCCTGCTTAATCCACTGGTGGGCCGGCTTGCCCCCCTGCTTCATGCGTTCCCTCCAATCCCTCACGCGGTCGCGCCTGTCCTGCGTTCTGGTAGAGTCTAAGAGCCGAGCAATGACTTCCTCTTGTTGTGCTCTCGTGGCAGGACGCGGAGTATCCCCCGGCCATGTGCGCCGTATAGCGCCGTCCAGCCGTTCTCTGTCAGCTCTCCGGGTGGTGCTCCGCATGGTTTCGCGAATGCGTCCCAGCAGCTTTGCCAGCTTGCGCTCCTTGAACGACGAAGTGTTCTGGAAGAGTCTGCCATGCTCCTGCTCGTTGACTGCCTGGCCCAGTGTCCCCTTGGATCGATGTCCGCTCCCACGCCGATGTCGTCTTGTGAGGTGCTGCAGGGCGCCGCTGAAAGCCTGTTCAAGGCCTCTGTTGAAGCTCTCCCACTGTCGCTCCACATCCTCCGCCGATGTCGGCGGGACAGCGTCGTCACCCTGACGTAGTGGTCGCAGACGGCGCTGTTCCAATCGGCTGCTGTGACCCCCCTGGGCGGCCCGTACGTGGCAGTGGGTCGTAGCTGTCGATTGATGCCCCACCCTAAACCCCGGTGCCTGCAGGACGCACTTCAGCTGGATGTGGTCACCGTACACCTCCGGTTGCAGCGATGCGCCGCTGCAGCGGAGCCTGCCCTTCACAAAGCCGTAATCGATAGTGCGGGAGCCATTCCAGCGAGTGGGAAGGTACCGGCCTTCCGAATCGGTGGCGACGCACAAGGCCCAACTGCCGTCCTGAAACAGAGGGTGAGTGTCAGGAGGTTGGTTCCAATCGCCAATAACCACTCCGCTGTCGCTGTGAGCCAACCATGGGGCCAATGATCTGTGAAAGTCACCGCGGACGGCTTCTGCCACACGTTGACAAAGGAATGACCCGCCGCCTGCACAGCCAGAATCTCTCCGGAAGCTTCACGCAAGCTGCCCTCGAACACCAAAGGTCGTATCTTTGATGGCTAAAGCAAGCCCTCCAAACCAAGTGCCGTTGGTGGCCATGCGAGCCGGAAGAAACCAGCTGCGGTAGCCCCGAGAGGCCGCGCCCTTCTGCCAGCTCTTATAATGTTCTGCTGATCAAGCCGAGTCTCCTGCACGCAAATAACATCATAGGCGCCGTCAAGAACCTTGTCCAGGGCCAAGAAAGTGGAGGTAATGCCTCCGCAGTTTAGCGAAGCCACCTGCAGACGACGGGCTGACGAAGACGACGGACCCGGGTGGGGCTCAATACCTTCAGCCACAAGCTGGTCCTTGATGGTATTGGCAAGCTCTCGCCGAACGCCTGCATCACCATGGAGTGGAAGCACTTGTGCATTGCAGCGCCCAGGCTTGCCCCGCAAGGTAGTGAAGGCATCGGCAGGCTCATCCGGATGGTACGTGCGAATGTGCGAGCTGCGTTGCCATCCAAGCTTCTGGAGGGTAGCGCCCTTGACCAATGCTTGGCAGACATCACAGCGCCACCCGAAACCATCCCGAAGCTTGGTGTAGCACTTCTTTGTCACAGAGCGGTGCCCATGATGCTTCACCTGGTGGTGCCACACCTTTTTCCCAAGCAGTTTGCGCGAAGGGGCTTGCACCTTAAGGCCGTTGCAAAGCTTGCACACCCACGAAATCCCAATCGTGTTGCCCTTTTCGTCAAGCACAGTCTCGAACGCCATGCCCGTGTGAGTCGTTGGGCGGTCGACGTCTGGAAGGGGTCCCAATGTCCGCTGATGGGCCGGAGCTTTGGGCAACTTCCGTATCTGACCCAGCTTGCCTCTGCGTGCCATGCCCGCTTCGGCACCCTTCCTTCGAAGACTCCGTCTCTCCTGAGGGGAAAGCGAGAAGAAGGCCGCCAACTGGTCACGAACTTTGTGAGTTGTCCGATGCCAATAGCTCCGGAAGGGTGAGGGATCAAAAAAAA